TTTGGTATTCACGTGCCGCATTCAAAAACATCAAGAAGCTACATTTTCTTTTCTCTTCCTAAAGCCATAAACATAGCTAGTATAAATGTTGTGATATCGACGACTATTCGATTAATTCCTTATTGATCGATGATCCATAAATAGTTATGCTAGCGATCGATAAGCTCTTCCAAGCAAAATAAAGTGAAGGGGCTAATAAAAAATAAATAGGATATTCCCTGTTAGTTTCTTAATCCAACGATAAAGCGATCGATAACTTCTCTCTAAAGCATTTTCCTCAGTATTGATATGAAATCTATCGACAATTTGCGTATGCTTCGATATCGATAACCTCAGTCAGGGCTTATATTAAATCTCTAATAAAAAATAAATAGGATATTCCCTGTGAGCTTCTTAATCCAACGATAAAAAGCGATCCAAACCTTCTTCCAACTATAACATGCCCCTCCTGGATGAAAAGACGAGCACCACCGAAGCCATTCTGTTCTCGGCCCACTGTGACAAAGTTGCTAAGAGCTAATAAATGCTTGCGCAAAAAAGAACAAGCACTAAAAACAGAAAAGGAAACCAAATATGTTCTGTGAGTTTCCCAATCCCCAAACTTCAATAGCGATCGATAACTTCTAGCATGCTCAACAATCATAAAGGCAGTATTATAGTATACCTATTGTCGAATAAAAATCAAATAAAATAAATGCATTGAGCTTCCTAATTTACCAATTTTTTTTCTGTCATAATACTAAAAGGATTGCAATTGGTTGCTCCCGTTCCCAGTGTAGCAATATTAATGTTATCGATAACTTATTTTTTATAAAAAGTAATCGGAAGCTTCTTGCGAACACAACAAACGGAAACGCATTATAATAATACCTTTTAGTTTACCACTTTACCTTAGTTAAACATAAAATGTGCCCAGTTTCCCAATTCAATCGATAAATTTCCGATTTCTTAAAAAGCTATTGATTCTGTGATAAATATCCGACTTAAACAATAATCGATATTATCCGTTGCAAGCGCATCGACAATGCCATGCATACCCTTTAGCAAGTAGTTCGCTGTATAACAGCATTTGTCGTAGCTAATTTCGTATATTAACGCTTTAGAGAAAATTTGCCTAGGGGGCAAACTGAACACGGGCTAAACGGCGATCAATGATGCTGAAAAGTATGCACATACCACAGCTTGAGTCATCTGGCAAACGGAAATACTATGCGTAAATTCTAAATGACGTCAGTTGTTGTTAAATCTTTTGTGGGTTTTTCTAGCTAATTACGCAAAAACCGGCAAGATAATAGGAAAAATGAAACGGCCTTTACGATCGTACCCTTATGACGATCATAAAGTTAGTTCGTTTAGTCATGTCTCCAAGTAATGCCACGGCTCTGAAATTGTCAACTTAACTTAGTTGAATAGAATAGAATAGCAGAAGACAAAGCGATCTTCAACAATGATAACCAAAAGTCGTTCAAATGGGTAAATGAACTTTTGGGTCTATTGAGGTTTTTATTTTTTTAGCCGGAGATCCGTTTAAGCGCGAATTTGTTGTAGTTTTTTTTCCTGGTTGACGCTATTTTTAATTGGTTTTAAATGCTGGACTTTTTCAAGCACATATTTTACTTGTAATCCCGAGCTATCGATCAATCAGCTGAGCTATGAATAGCGTACGCTTATGCTAATTTGTCTCCAAGTAGGCCAATAAGCTGTCGCATAGCTGTTGTGACTGATCTATTGGAATCGTTTATGGGGGTCTTAACAGCTACCGGATCTGTGCGAACTTTCAGCTTGTGGAGCTCACAACAGTTTCAATTGACACACACGCACACACACACAGGCACACACAGGGCACTCGAGTGTTGGGTAATATTCCAATAGAACTAGTTTGCAGCTTGGTCGCCATTCTAATCAGTTTTAAGCCATTCAATTGATGATTTGGCTGTCAAGTGGCGACGACACCGATCTACTCCAATATACTATGGCATACGATTGGTTTTGTATCAGGTTTTATGTTTTTGTTTTTGGTGTGCTCTGTCTTTTGATAATGTGTTATCGACACAGAGTCGCGCCGCTCACTCGACTCGCTTAGTGTTTCTCCGGCTAGTTTTGAAATGAATTTTGTGGCTTCTCATTTGATTCTGTTTTTTTTTTTTTTTTACTTTTTGGCATTTTTGATTGTTTCCACGCTGGTTTGGAGATCGGTGTTTCGTGCCAGGCACCGTGCCGCTTCTTTCAGCATAAATTATACGTCACATATACATATTTAAGAAAATCAAATGTGTTTTTAGTTGTTGTTGTTGTTGATTTTTTTTTCGAAATTCGTAGAATTAAGCAAATTGAGCAAAACAAAGCGCGACAACAATAACTGTTTCTTGTTTTTTTTTTTTTTTTTTTTTTGCTGTATCTCTTGAGAAAAACGGCAGCTGCAACAAATCGCTTGAATCTCAAATTTCTTTTAACTTAACTCATTTGCATGGCCAAACACTTTTAAAAATAAATCCCAAACGTAGAAATCAAGCGCGAATTTGGTTGCCAGTCGAAAAACTGGTGCACAACACTAATCGATGATCGATTAGCTGACTATCGATTAATGCAGGCGGCCGTCATTTGCATAATCGGCAACTGTTAGACTTGGTGTCTGCTAAACGTCTGATAGATTTCATTGCTGCTCTCCCTCTCCCTCTCACACACACTCTCTCTCACTGTGTGGCTGCCTATAAGTGTGCCATAGGTTTGGCATTATCGCGGCTGTTATTAATTAATTCAAGCGCGACACCTTTTCCGTACGCTTTGAACTTTGACTGACGGCTAAATGATTGCGCATGTTGTTCTTCTTGTTTTTGTTATTTATGTTGTTGGCATTTATTTTCATTGTCGCAAGATGTTTGCGTTTTGTTGCTGCTGGCTTCTTAGCTTTCAGCACGGCTATTTGCATGAACCATTGTTTGCGTTTAATTTTTTTGCCGTGATTTAATGCGCCTCTTTTGTGTGTGTCCCAGAGTTGTCGCCGCTGTGATTTGTGTAGATTTCCTACTTGTAAGCCATAGAATAGAATTGTTGTTTGCATAACCTTCGCAACACTGTGAAAGCTACAACAACAAATCCCTTTCGAATAACAGCACACGCCGAAAGGCCATTAACCGATATCAGTAGCCGTTTTGATTCGTAATTACACACACACACACACATGCATGTCGATATGCAGCAGCAGCAGCTGCTGCTAACAGCTGTTAATTGCAGCCCCTGTTAAGTACCTGTTGTTCTTGGCTAATTGAGATCGCCCACGCATGGCCGTTCGCCTCGTTTACATCCGCGTCGCAATGCTTCAAAAATCCCAATTGACATCCGCTTCAGTTTCAGTTTTGACACATTTTTAAGTCCAATTTGTCAAAAATGTGTCGGCGACAAGATACTGTTGAAGCCTCCACATTGCTGTTGCTATTGCCGTTGTTATTGTTGTTGCTGCAAAGTGCGCTCAAGTGCTGAGCAGAAGCTCCTGCTAGAGATGCGTGTTTGGCTATGCGATGACAAAATATCGATTCGAACTTATCTAATGCTGAGGGAAGCGTAGCCACATTACAGTTAAATTTACTGGTACTAATTGGAATTGGAATTGAGCGCATGTTGTGTTGTGTCTTCTCAGTACCCGATCAAAATAGTCGTGTCACGAAAGAAAACACTACACGCACTCAGCTCTACTTGGAATGCTTTAGTTTTGACTGGAATGCTCCAGTCATAATCTTGCTCATCTCTTGCTCTTGCTGTGCTGTTGCCTGCCCGTTGTGATTGCTACTGTTGCTGTTGCTACTCATGTTGTTGTTGGGGCACCTTGGCTACCTACCCACACACACACACACAAACGCAGATCTCAATGGGTAGATGCGCACGCACGAATCTTGTCGTGCCGCGTATAGTTGGTCTGTGGCCGCGCCAGCCGTTGACTTTGTCTTCTTGAACGAAAGCGTCCTTGGCGCTGTTGCTTTTGTCAGATTTTTAATTAAAGAGCCGCTAACATTGTTTGCCAGTTGTCGACACCAACAGCGACTGCGACTGCTACTGCGACGACGTTGGCGACTGCGACTGCGGCTCCACATGCGACTGTGGCAAGTGGGTCGCTCGTTGTTGTCGTTGCTAATTGATTGCAATGTTCTCAGCTGCCAGAGAGTGTCTAATAACTTAGGCTTTAATTATTTAGCCGCTGTTGCTGTTGCGTTTTTTTCACACAAATCACATTATTAATTTGTCTTAAAGTTAATAGAAAAGGTGCTAATATATGTGGCCTGGCCAGCGCATAATTAATGGGCAGTCAGCACAATGTTTTAGACGGCACTGTAATTGCTTTGAACTTGGACAGGCATCACTCAATTAGCCACCGCTGTCCCAAAAGCAGGCCCAGGCCCAGGCCCATGCGCAACCTGTTGAGCGGCATTCCTCGCTCTGCTCCTGCAGTGTGCAACCGGATCTGGCTGGCGATATGTGCTTTATAAACAACCGCTGTACGTCCTTGAACTCTGCGGCAGTTAAACGAAATTCCCGTTGAATGCAGACCAAGCCCCAGCTATGCGGTCCTTGGGCCAGCCTGGTGAAGGGCACCAATGCAGCTCCAGTTTTCAGATTGCAGCTGCTGATACAAGACGTGCCCCTTGGCCAAGTGTGTGAGACTTATTTATAGATATTTTTGTTGCTGCCGCTGCTGCTGTTGTTGTTATTAGCTGCTCCAAGGTTGTCCAAAGCACTGGGCATCATCATCATCATCATCTCATCATCATGATCAGCAATTGTTATTTCTGTTGATTTAGTTACGTGGCCACTAGAATGTCTAAGGGGCTTTGATCATTAATCACAAATTACATGAACCGGAGACGTTTGCCTCCGTTACGTGCTCACAATAGTTGGGCAATTGGTATCGCTGTCTGCAGCTCGAGCTCTGGCTGAGATTAGATGTTGATCATCTTGAACAACTGGTTATATATATATATATATATGTATTTACATTCTAATTGCAGCTGAAGATTCCCTTCAATGTGGCATTCGCTTTGCGCGCTCGCGACATTGTGGTCAGCATTGGCAAGAAGTCATTGAAAGTGGGCCTCAAAGGTCAAGAGCCGATCATCGATGGCGAGCTCTGCGGCGAGGTCAAGCAGGAGGAATCGGTTTGGGTGCTCCAAGACAGCAAAACTGTGCTGATCACGCTCGAGAAGATCAATCGCATGAACTGGTGGAGCCGTTTGGTAACCACAGATCCAGAGATATCCACACGCAAGATCAATCCAGAGCCATCCAAGCTATCCGATCTGGATGGCGAGACGCGCAGCATGGTCGAGAAAATGATGTACGATCAGCGTCAAAAGGAGATGGGTCTGCCCACCAGCGAGGATCGCAAGAAACAGGATATACTAGAGAAGTATGTGGAGCAGGTATATAAAGTATAAGAAATAAATCAAATTAATCTCTTATATCTCTGCAGATTCAAGCAACAGCATCCCGAAATGGACTTCTCCAAGTGCAAATTCAATTAAAATACAATTTACAGGACTTTCGTATTCCACAAGTTTTCTCAACTTCAGTATCTAACACACACAACACACACACACACACATGCACACATTTGACATGTGTGCCTCTGCATTTTTTCTACACTTACAAATAAATTAAATACAGTTTGTTAGAAATGTTAAATAAAACAAATTGTGAACGATCGCCGCTTGCCTTTAACATATGTTAATTAACAGTTTTTCGGGGGGATTAGTGAAAGCGACAAGGTTTCTATGATAGATCACAGGTCGCCGCCCGGTTAAAGCTACAAATTAAAAAGACATAAAAAATAAATAAAGAACTTAACAAAACTGGGAGCGACCCAAACGACACGATCTTAACTGTGCGATAAGGGTAATTTTTCATTTTTATAGCTGCTTAAATGCAATTAATTTCGTGCTAATTTGTTATCTCCCGCCCAATTCTCAGCGCTGTTTTTTTTGTTTTTTTTTTTTTTTGGCTAGCCATGGCTGCGAATAGATCGGGGAGTCAATAAGGTTCTCAGGCCATGTTGATGGATCGACTAGAACGTGCTCGAAGGGGATAGACATACACAGTTTCGGCGAGCCTCAGTTCCAGATGCTGCTGCAGCCGGTATTTCAGTAGTTCTCTGGGTCATTGCCTCGATACGAATACGCGTTGAACCCGTTTCAGCGCTTGGCCATAAATTAGCCAGCTTTTTGCCGGGGCTTAAGTTCTTTATATTTTATAGCTGTAAAGTGTTAAGCAAATTATTGTTGTTAGCTGCCCAATTTGTTGTTTTGCTATCAGCTATCAGTCGGACGATCTTAAGCATTACTTAAGGCTGACACGCGCCACATGCCGGCAGCTATCGGTAGCCGCCATCTGATATGAGTATCGATTACACAAAGTATCGATTACACAAATCGATGACTGGCTTAAAGCAGTTGCGCTGCATTTCAATATCGTTTAACGTAAGCGTTCACACTGGCATTGCGGCGAAAAGCCTTTTATCCATCTTTAATATTGCAGCTTACAATAAAAAATGCATTAAAAAACCGGCATTAAAAAATGTGAAATGCCGCAAAATTAAACGCAAGCGAAATGCAATCGTCTGCTGTGCCCATTTTTTTTCTCGTTTGTTTCAAGTAAATTGGGTTAAGCAAATGTTACGGAGTGGAAAAATTTTGATTACATCAAAGATTTCTTTGTATGACACGCGTTTGACCAAGTATTTAGCCTTTCAGAGCGTAGCCAAGGCTAAACTATTTCCGATTGCCCACTTACTGTTCCGCATCGGTGTTCACTTTTAGAGCACGACCCAATCCCACATTTGATATGCACGCCCCGCTGTTGTACATGCAAAAGTCTTAGTTTAATAGCCCATTAATTAGAGAGAATTTTTTGTTTAAAATCTGTGTTCAACAAGCCGCAAAAAAGCGCTAATTGATAAATGGATTCCCGCACAATGGGATTGGAGCATTAAAATAAAAGATTTGGATGGGAGAGGCGTCACAATTAAAAATGCAACATGATGTGCATGATTTGTGCACAGCTTGTGTGTGGGCGTATAGTTAATTAATTAAAATAAAAAGAATATTCAGACAAATTTAGCACAGCGGGAGTCTTGGCCCCATCCAAGTCAAGAGAGTAACAAATGTAAACACAAAAATTCCTAACTCCAAACAGTACCGGGATTCAACCGGATTTGCTTTAGATTTCGCTTCGGGATCGGATTATTTGTTTTTTTGTTATTGTTGTTTTCTTTGTGGTGCGCTACAAATTCGAAAGCACAAGATGCTTTCATGTTAAGTATCCGTTTTTTGGGGAATTTGGCAATTAGGAGAGCAGCCGATCAACCGGTTAATGCTACTGAACCAGCCCAGGCGCAGCTCACGGGAGAAAGCTATAGAAATGCCATTAAAACCGGCAAACAAAAAACAAAGTGAATTAAACATGTTTGATCACAAAATCCGATCTGAGCTGATTAAAAACAAGTAAATGTAAATAACTGATAGATCGCCTAAACAAAAAATCAAACCAAGTAAAGATACGATATGCCGTTAATTGGTCTTCGCCTCTGATTAGCTGGCGGCTCCCTTACACACACACGCCACGCCCCAAAATAGAACAGCTGTAAGCCCAGCTGAATATCGATTGAACGGTTAAATGACGCACGTGATGAATTGCGTCTGGCTGGCAGACCCAATAAATATATAAATTTCATACACGCCGTATGCCATAAATAACGAATCCGGGTGCCGGCTGAGATTGAGTCTGAGACTGTGGCTTTGACTGTTGAGTGGCTGTTGCCGCCTCCTGCCCCTCCCTCCTGAGTTGCCACCCCTCGTTACCCTTTTGTCATGCTTGAGGTTTTGCTTGTTCTTGTTTGTTATTTGTGCTAATAACTTCTATGTTTCTTTTTGTTATTTCGAGTGTTTCCCACATCATCAATTCAAGAGATATATGTATATGTGTTTATATGTGGCTGTGGGGCGTACGCGGTCGCGTGGGTTATTTCACAGACTGTCTCCGTCTGGGTCGGGTCTCTCGTAATTGCCATTCATTTGTTATTTTTAGCATTAAATCTTGTTAATGCCCATTAACTATAACAGTCGACCGACTTGGTTGTTTATTTATAAGCGCGAGTCATGCTGGCCTCCACCCTCCGCCCGCACACCATGAAACCAAACAAAAGACTTAGGCAACGAACTTTGCTTCTCCCATGTCTGCAGCCATCAGCCATCCAATTGGTCTGCGTAAAACGAAAACATCAGGCTGACATCTTGAAGGTTAGCCCTGACCAGCAAGCCATACAATTAACTTCATTTTACAAGCCCAAAAAAGTAGTCTGCAACTGTAACCGAGTTTGTGCTGGGCGTGTTTCGGTCCGCTGCGTTGTTATTGAGAGTGCTGGGCAGAGCTGGAGCTGAAGAAGCCGAAGAGTGGTTCGACAAATGCCGCTGGGGAGGCTCGAGCGCTGTCTGCGCCGTGTCTGTTGCCGGGTGCCGGTGCCGATGCCGACGACGACAAATGTTGGTGGGCTTGTCACGGCGCCAATGAACTGTGGAGTGTCAGTGACTGCCACCGAAGCTGCTGCCTTTTGATTGGCATGCACGTCCACGTCGAAGATGCCTCAAGATTAATGTCACAGCTCGGCTGTGACTGCAGTTCGCTTGCAATGCCATCCGCCAAATGTTCTACTCTGTGTCAATTTGCATTTGCCAATGAACATCCGGCTGCGACTGTGACTGCGACGGTGACGGTGACTGTGCTCCCGGACCTCGTTGAGCAGTCGCCCACATAGCTGTGCCTGTCGACAATCGCATTCACTTCGCTTAGCCGACTCGACTGCCTGCAGGAATTTCGCAATTAGTTTTGGTTATCGCCGTTTGCATTTGCAATGCAAATGTGTTTAGCTGCAGGAAAATATACGCCTGGCAACGCTAGTTGCGCGCGTTTATAACAGTTGAACTGTTATACAAACAAGCAGGCTAGCAAAATTAACTAAATATCAGTTGCGTTAGGTTTGGGAGAATGTATATCAGCTACTACAACAGTAGAACACTTTTGGAACTGTTATACACGCAAATGCGCTTTAAAGCCTAACTATAATTGAATAAATCACAAGTCAGGGACAAATAAGTGAAACTGCTAGAATTATAACAATTTTTAACTTTCATGCAAACTGTTATACAAACTTATAAATCTATTTCTCAGCTGGGCGCAGTCGGGAAAAACTCTAAGAATATTAATAATAGTCTTAACTATTAGGCATATTTTAAAATTATTACGTAAAATTATAAAAATATATACAAAATTCCTTACGTATAATAATTATAACAGGCATAAGCCTGTTTATAAGAACGTCTCTAAATGTAATGTAAATGGAAGCATACACACTTGATTGAAATTCTTCTAAAATTATGTTTATGTAATGAAATTAAATAATGAATATAATTCAATACTATTTAGAGCTAAAAACTGTTCTACCAGCACTGAAGTGAGCACATGGCAAGTGGTTTGCATATGCCGCTCGTTCCTGCTGGCCTAAAAATTATAACAGATTACGCAATTCTGAAAACTGTTATACCTATATAGAAGCTACGCACAGTTGGTTAAATAACTATTATAATGATTCCTACATATTACAACTAAATAATAATGATTCAATACTATTCAAAGCTGTTCTAAAAACTGTTCTACCAGCACTGAAGTGAGCATATGGCAAGTAGTTGGCATATGCTGCTCATTCCCGCTGGATTCGTGGCCTGAGCTGCATTTGGGCAGCTGCCGTGGAGCTGGCTGGCTACTGTGAAAGATTTATCAAGCGATTGTCCATTTTTGGCGTGGCTTTTTATCTGAGCTATGACTAATCTTGTGGTATTTAGAGTGCTGGCGTCTGTTTTTTTTTTCTTTTTGTATATAAAGTTGGTTATTGTTTTGGCCATTTTATCGATAAGCTCTGGCGCAGACAAATGCTTGCCATTTGGAAAGCTCGTGGGTGGTGGATAAATTGGGCTTGCAGCGGGCAATTCTTTTGGCCAGATAATCGCCGCGATTAATAACAATGCAAAAATAGCAATAAGCAAATCGTTTTGCTGTTCTTTATGTTGGCGTTAATCGTCCGAGAATGTTGTGAAAGGCAGGCCAGTAATCGAGCCGCTGATGATACTGATGATGATGGGGCTGATGATGCATCGCTTTCGATTGAGTATGAATCTAAATACGAATGCTAATGAAGAGGCGATTAGTAATGTGCTTGAGCATAGTTCGGCTGAAGCACTCAAATCGAATGGAATGAATAGTCAACGAGTGTAATTACAGTTATGCAAGATTTGCGGAAGATAAGTTCGACTTAACTCTTGAATGCATTGATCTTAAGCATTTCGAAAGGGGAAGTTATTCATATATAACAGATTTGCATATCTCTAAAAATTCTCTTGATGATTCAGTTTTCAGTTCAACTTTGACTGAAATTTCATTCATATTCGGGTATTTTTTGACCAATGTGGAAACTTATTTAACTAATTCTTGCTAATGAAACTTGTAATTCACCAAAATACTTTAACGCCAGGGAATTTACTATACCCTACAGCTAAATACATTTGTCTATTGTGTAATTGACTAAATTTAATTCATGTTTAACATTTTTAAGCGCTTTTGTTTATTCATTAGCTAATTGATGAGGCAGCT